ATAGCTGAAAGGCAAAAATATACCAAAATGTAGCAGAATACAATCCCCACTCACTCCCATCCCATAGCTGATATCTAGTTTCAGGAATTCATCATTGTCAGGAGGGTCTGCAGGGAACTTGTCCAGAGTTCCTACAGCAGCCCTGGGGCTCAGCCTGCTGTATCGCCTGCAGAGTGGGGTTTCTATGAGAAATGCAGCACTTCTGGTAATTTCAGAGGAATTAAAAGCCTATTTGGCTGTAGGCAAGTGTATTCACTTTAAATCTGTACTGTGTTCCAAAAGGAAGTGGCTTTACTCAGCAGCTGCCTCTTTGCAATTGCCATTTGTTTCCAAGTAAGGGAAGATTACCAAAAATGTTTATTTCTTAGCTTATTCAAATATTTATATTTTCTCTAGTTTCTTTTCTGAAGTATTTTGGCTCATTCTTTTTTCTGATAAACAACTGCTGTTCAGATTTCCTTTGTTCCAGTAGATTATAAATGTTAGCTTTAGAGCAGATCTGTTTCTTCAAAGGATCATTGGCAAGTGAGATTCGATACAGAGCGATACATGCCAAAATAGGAAAAAACTGGCCTTTAATAATGGGCAGTTTCTAACCCCAGAAACTGCAATTTAAAATTTTATATTCTGAAGGTTCCAGAGGGAGAAGAGAACTGCTTTGGAATGCCTTTCACGTTTAGGCAGAGAGCATCAAAACGGGAGGAAGCAAAGGACAGGCATGGTGCTTTCACACTTCTTAGTGTTCCAGGCTGCTCTTGGCCAAAGGTTTGGGCTTTTCAGAAATCTTACTCAGCCCGTTCACCACCTCTCTCCATGCCCCTGACTCTACCCAGCTCCACTCACAAGCTTACTTCTCTCCCTCCTGCCCTTCTCCGCCCCCAACCCCTGGCTGCACTGAGACTCTCCAGAGCTAGTCTTGTTCCCGCCCTTAGCACTGCAGATAAGGCCTTTGACCCTGTTTGCCGCTGGCTTTATCTGCTGCCCCAGGGGTTCTGGTCCCTGACTAGCTGTGCCTCTGCTTGCAATAACTGAGACCTAGAATAAAGGAGACAGCAAGTGTGGGGAAGCATAATAAGTTTGGTTTTGAATCTGCCACATTTGAGAGCTGTAAGATTATTAGGTAGATATGTCTAGTAGTTAATTGGGCATATGGGAGAAAATGAAGATATAGGAGAGTGAGAGAGATGAGTTGATGATACAAAATCCCATCAATGGTGAAGTGGGCTAGAACTAGTATACTAGGAGAGAAGGGTTTATCATTTGGAGAGGAGAACAGATCTCTCCTTGGGACTGGTGCGCAAAGGTTGAGTGTTCTAAACAGATCTGCCTGGAGCTGAAAAGAAAGGCAGAAAGGGGGTTCCTGTGTGCCAGCCGCAGGGGACAAGAGCATTGTCTGAGAGAAGGGAAGTGGGGAGGGCAGCAGGTGGTGAAGCTGTGGATCCTGTGAGATTTGGAGTGAGAAGACTAGGGAGAGAGGGGTGAGTGGGGAAGGGATTGCTGAGCAGAATTAATGGCCTACCCTGAAGCTGGGGATCATCTTTGTGTCGTAGCAACTTTCTCTTCCAGGTGTGATTTCCCCCAGCAGTGCTGGGCAGCAGAAGTAGAGTGAGAGGTGGTCAGAGTCCTGATGGCAATACGACTGTGTCGGTAACTAGTCTTCTTTGGGGCACAGTCTGTGGGAAAGTGAAACCAGGTCACTAGCTAGGCTGGAGAGGATGGAAATAGCTTTACTGGCTATTGCATCCCAACTATGAGCATAGCCCTTGGCTTACAAATGTGCTTCATAAATGTTGGTTGAATCAGAGTGTTGTAGACAAAGAACCGGTTTTATAGGAATCAGATGTTATGATGGGATCTTTGATAGAGTGGGATTTTTGCATTTGTTTTGGTTATGGGGCAATTCTTCAGTACATAGGAATACTGAATGTTAATATTGAAGCCATCAGGAAGATGGCAGGAGACAGAGTGAGCCAAGCGCCCAGGCCTCTGCAGAGTCCCTGTGTGTCACTGATGATGTTGGCGTGAGAAATATCCGTTATGAGTAGAAGTTGGGAGCTTCAGAGTATAGGGGGTTTTGCATGAGGAAGGGGTGTGTAGGACCTAATGATTCTGAAAGAATGCTGACCCTACTGTCTAGGCCCTGAGGATTGAGGGTTAGGAAAGCCAGTCTGGGGGAGAAGGTGGGGAAGACACTTGTGAAGAGGCTGAGAGTATGGGAGGCTGTTTAGAATAGTGGCGTTCCCAAGATGGGGGACAAAACAGAAGGGCAGCAGTATTGTTCTTGGCAGGGCATAGGAAAGCTTGTGTCAGAATCTCTGGGGTCAGTAGGCTGGTGCTTACGGGGAAGTGCAGCAGGGCCTAGGGTAGCTACTCTGGAATGATTGCTGATGCCACTGGGGTCTGCGTTTATTAAAGGGGGCCTGTGCCAGACTGACAGGTGTGTCATCTTAATTATTTTATTTGATCTTCATAACATGGTTATACTAGCCTCATTTTATAAAAACTGAAACTCGGAAAAGTTAGTAATTTACCTAATGGTCACACAGTCTCATGGTTCTAATCCAGTTCTTGCTGACTGTGCTTAATTTTTTTTTCATGCACTTGCCCTTCATGTATTGCCCTGTTTAGAGGTAGCATGGGTATAGGGATATAGTCAATGCATTCTCTTAATGTTAGTCAATGAGTGTTGCTGGGAAAGCTTGCCCATTCTGGGCCCAGACTTTCTGGGCTGCAGCTCTCTCTCACCCCCTAGTGGCAGTGATGGTATTTTGGCCTGCTAAGATGAGAGGGAACACTTCTAGCCAAGGTGCCACTAAGTCACTGATGTGCAGCAGCAAGAACATTCCCTTTGTTGTGAACGTGGCACTTACCGAATACAGCCTTCAACAATTGTTTGTATACCTATCTTAACTGTAAAGCAATACTTTAATATTTGCATACTCCCTACAGCGTTCTGGGACTTTCAAGTAGCGTGTGAAAAGAGAAACCCAGAGGGGGAGTTACAGTCATTGGATTGAGCCCTTCTTATCCATGGTTTAAACACCTCCTGACCCAGTTAATACTCAGGTGTCCATCCTTTCTTTTATAATCTGGAAGATTACTCTTTCCCTGTTTCCTCTTTGTTAAGTCTTTTTTTGTTGGCTTTTTTCATTAGCATATAAACATATTTGAGTATCTTCCATTGAAAAAAGAAGAAAGAAGGGCTTTGAAATCTACCCCACCACCCATCCCCAGCCCTGCTCCCCACCATTACCTGATTACATTCTTCCTAGTTAAGTTTCTTGAAGCACGGTTTCTTGGACCTCTTTTCTACTACTGTTTTCCACTGCCCTTTGGCTTCTGCCAGTCCCAGCCTCCACCAAAAAGCCCTTGTGACCACTGAATGGGAGAGGGGTACCATTCTTATTGAGTCCCCAAGGGCAGGACAAAGAGTAGTGTGAAATATAAGGCCTCACTGAAGGTCTTGAAGGTGGCAGCCATTCTGAATTTCACCTATTGCTTTGCACTTTGAACTCTTTCTTTCATGAACATCTCTCTAGCAACAGGATATATTTATTGATTGATGCTGATTGGTTCTATTGAGCCACCTGTGTAGGCCAGGTATTGATAGAGAATATTGGTGTTCCCAGGACATCTTCCTAGTCACCCCTCTTCCTTTCCTGATTCTGAATCACTTGAGAAATAGATCCAGAGGTTAGATGGGCATCCAAACATAAACTTTCTCAGTGGTGAAAGCTGGACTAGAGAATGTGGCTTAGATATTCTATGAGAAATTTGTACCTTGGAATCTGCTTGTGACGTGAGTGGGTCTGTAGAATAGACCTTTGTCCCAGTCACATGCAGGCCCTCAGAGCTTGGCTTTTATCAAATAGAGAAGACATTGGTGACTAGTCATGGTCTGTAAATTATACATCTCAGCCCCTTGGCTCTTCATATCTATCTGCCTCTCCAGGGCTTCTCTGTCAGTGGCTGTAGTCCTCAGCAGAATTTCTGAATCCTAGATGGCAGATTGTACAGGAGAGTGGGGGTACTGTTCTGAGCATGAAATAGAGGGTGGCTTACTGGATTGAATTTTTATCCAATTGAAAATTCCTAGGAACAAATGCACAAACATAACAAGACAGAAACCGAGTCATAAATACAGAGAACAAGCAGGTGGTTACCAGAGGAGTTAGGGTAGAGGGGGACGAAAGAGATAGATGAGGGAGATTAAGAGGTGCAGACTTCCAGTTGCAAAATAAAAGAGTCAAGGATATGAAATTTACAGTGTGGGCAGTATAGTCAATAACTAAACAATATCTTTGTGGTGATGTATTGTAACTAGACTTATTTTGGTGATCATTTTGAAATGTATAGAAAAATCACTGTTGCATAAATGGAACTAATATAGCATTGTAGGTCACTTATACTTCAAAAACAAACAAACATACAAAGAAACACATAGAAAAAGAGATCAGATTTGTGGTTACCAGAGGAGGTGGGCAGGGGGAATTGGATGAAGGCAATGAAAAGGTACTACAAACTTCCAGTTATAAGATAAATAAGTGCTAGGGATATAATGTACAACCTTATAAATAGAATTAACAATGCTGTATGTTATATATGAACATTGTTAAGAGAGTAAATTCTAAGAGTTCTTATCACAAGGAAAATTTTTTTTCTATTTCTTTAATTTTGTATCTATATGAGATGATAGATGTTCCCTAAACTTATGGTGATAAGCATTTCATTATGTAAGTCAAATCATTATGCTGTAACCGTTTTAAACTTATATAGTGATATATGTCAATTATATCTCAATAAAACTGGAAGAAAAAAATAAACACACCCCCAAGACAGTAATCTAATGGGTCATGTAAGAGGCAATGCAGTCTGGTGGGGAAAAGTCTTAGAATCAGACGCAGCTGAGCTGGATTCCCACTCTAGCTACTTTGCATATATTCAACTTCCCTGGCTTGGTTTCTTCCAACTGTTTAAAACAAAAGGAACATTCCTAGCACTGTTTCTGACAATTTGGACTTTTTAAAAAATAGCTAGATTATTTGTTCTTATGAAAGGCTCATGCATTCATTAGTTAATTACCTAAATCAGTGAGGTCAAGCTGTTGGTGCCTTTTCTGTTATGATGGATCCAGTTTGTTTATTTCTCCATTTTACAGGTTGAATATAAGCTGGGATTCCAAGTAGACAATTTTGTGGCTATGGACATGCCCCAGGTCAACATTTCTGCTCAGGGGGAAGTTCCACGCACTTTATCAGGTGAGTCTCAGTGACAGAGTTTAACATACTGTTTTTAACTGTGTCCCATGTACTCTCAAAGAACAGTTAAACTACTGATAATGTAGTATTCTACGCACACACGTAGGTATCAGATGCATAAGTACTTTGAAAAGTAATTTTTTTAAATAGGGGTTATTTGGACTGTTTAAACCATTTCCTCTTTTCCAACCCTTCCAGAACTGTCTGCACTCAGCTCTTCTCTATCTCCTTATGTGCATTGTTGGCCCCCAGCTGGGTCCCTTTGTCTGGTCTTGTTTCTCTTCCGTTAGTTCCCACACTGCAGCCCTGATAACTGCCGAACACTCACTTCCGACCATGTGATATCAAGCCCCTCAGTGCCCCCACCCCAGTCAGCTGAGTACATTGCACACTCCCCAGCCAGTGTGCTGTGTTTACATCTGCCCCTGCCTGCCTGTCTAAACCTTACTGCTGCATTTGCTCCAGTGTTCCAGCAGTGCCATGCTACATGTAGTTCTCAGAGCCATGCCTTTGCACAAGCTGGTCTCTGTATTTGGAACCATTTTTTCATCTTTCCTGCTTGTGAATTTCTATTCATACTAAATATTCTGCAAGACTCAAAATCTGTACTCTCCTTTTCCTGCCTCCTCTCCCTCCATTTGTTAACTCTTCTGTATTTAACTGTTTTGAACTGATCACATTATCTTGTAATTCTTTCTTTCTCCCTCTAGCCTGTGCCACCCTGAGGGCAGGAGCTGTCTTTTTCAGCTATCTACCCTGGGTGCCTAGCATAACATCTGGAACAGGATAAGCACTCAGGACATGTCTGAGTAAATCATTTAAGTGTCATATTTACACCAATTTAACTACTTTTGAGCCAGCCTTTTGAGAGAGGCTTCTGAAGATGTGAGATTTAAAGAAAACGAAAAATTTTTAAACTTGACAGTATAAGCCCCAGTGTTATGGAACTTTTTTGACAGTCTTACTCACTGTTATTAGTGACATTCATTAATCCAAGCTTTAAGAAAACATGGGAAGGCTGGCTAATTTTTATGGGCCAGTAAAGAAATTTAAAAATGCCCATATTGTTCATATGCTGATGTAGATGGTAGAATGATGTATTCTAAATTTGTAGAAAAAGAGTCTTAAACTGAAAGATTGAAAAAAAAACAAAAGTGCACCAAAGTCTGTTATCCCTTTGCTTACATTAATTGATTAAAAGCCAGTTTCTGTTTAGAAAGGTTTTTTTTTTTTCTTTTTAATTCATAGTTGAGAATTTATCAGTTTCATTTACAGGTTTATTTTTAATCTCTTCATTAAGAATAATACATAATTGCATTTTGGTGGTGAATTGTCTTTCCTTTTTTATCAAGTAATTTTTGTTATTACTGTTGATTGTGACTGATGAGGTAGTAGGGTTTGCCTTATGATTCTGTAGCTTTATTATAATAAGAGAACTTATGAGACAAATTGATATATTAAAAATCATGAGCAAATTTGAAAATAATTCTCTTCCTTTATGTCTTGGTTTGTTCTTTAATGCTAACTTTTATATCTGTAATGAATGAAGTACTTAATGTCCAAAGCTGTGTAGTCTAAAGATAAGTTCTCTGAAAGTTTCTTCTTAGTATGTTATGTAAATGTATTATTTGCAGTTTTATTGAAAAATAAATAAATTCTAAATTATTCAATGGGCATTAATGTTGATTTTTAGAAAATTAAAATATTTTTTCTTTTTTAAACAGTGTTTCGGGTCGAGCTTTCCTGTACTGGCAAAGTAGATTCTGAGGTTATGATACTAATGCAGCTCAACTTGACAGTAAATTCTTCAAAAAACTTTACAGTCTTAAATTTTAAACGAAGGAAAATGTGCTACAAAAGTAAGGAATTTATTTACCAAAGTATGTGTTTTATATAGATGTGAGAAGGTCAAAAATAGATTTTGTCATCTTTTTACAGATTTGTGATCAAATCTTGATTATAGTTGCAAGTGAGAAAACAGAGCACTGACTGATGAAATTCCAAAATAATCACCTAGATAGCTTGTAGCCAGGAATCTCATTCAGGCCCCACTTACTTCCTGCTTTCTCAAAATTTTGATCAGAATTGCTAAGGACGTTTTCCTTTAGGAATGTGAAATAGCACTAGTGGCTGAAGAGGTAAAGAAATCAGGTAATTTTGATAGGGACCCCTGAGTAATGGGGTGTTAACTATGTTTCCTTTATGAATTACCATTATGTAGAAGAATTGCCCTGGGGCCAGAAAGACCTGCATTAGAATTACAGCTCTGCTCTTGACAGGATAATTGGAACAGGTTTCTTAACCTAAGTCTCAGTCTTTTTCATCTGTAAAATGGCATAATAACCTGTTTCAAGAGATTGGTTGGTTGGTTGATTTTAGATTAATTGAAGCTAATCACCTGAAACTTAGAATACCATATGTGGGTACTTAATACATGTTGGTAGTTTTTGGTTTTGAATAATCTGTTGCTCAAGAAATTACAGTGGATGTGAAAGAGCTTCAGCATGCTAGGTCATAGATCAAAGAATTTTAGAATTCTCCTTAAAGGTTATCTAGTCCAACCCACTCACTTTAAGTTCCAGAGAGATTAAAGTGACCTGAATTTACAAAGTCACATTGGTAGAGCTGGTTAGTATCTAAGATAGGAGAAAAAAAAAGCTAAAGAAAACCCCTCTAAACTTGCTGAGTGCTTACTGTGTTCTAAGTGCTTTACACACATTAAACCCATTTAATGCTTATAGCAGCCCTAGGCAGTAGGTTCTCTCATTATCTCCATTTTCTGAGGAGCAAGCTGAGGCTCAGAGAATCCAACCAACTTGCCAAGGCCGGACAGCTAAGTTGTGGAGCTGGGTTGCAAACCCGTGCTCTTGCTTCTTTGGCTTCTTTGGCAAACTGTCTCTTAACACATTTTCTAGTCAAAGTTAGTGCTGAGTGTTATGAGAACGCCTGAGGCCAGCACATGAGTTATAATGGCTAATGTCCAGATAACATGCCAGTAAAAAAGCTGTACTGCATTAGAATGGGCATTTTTTAAGCTCTAATTTAATCTTTTAATTAGAGTAAATATAAAGCAAGCAGTTACTCTCCATGTATATTTTTCCCAGTTTTATTGAGATATAATTAACATACATCACTGTATAAGTTTAAGGTGTACAGCATAATGGTTTGATTTACATACATTGTGAAATGATTATCACAGTAAATTTACTTAGCATCCATCATTTCATATGGATACAATAGAAAGAGAGAGCAAAAAAATAAAAAAATTTTTTCCTTGTGATGAGACCTCTTAGGATTTACTTTCTTAACAACTCTCACATATATCATACAGTTAACATATTGTGTTAAATAACATATAAAGTACACCGTGCTGTACTTTATATCCCTAGTGTTTATCTTATAACTGGAAGTTTGTACCTTTTGACTACCTCCTCCAGTTCCTCCTCCCTCCTGCCTCTGATAATAACAAATCTGATCTCTTTTCTTACGATTAAAAAAAAAATTGATTCTTTAGATTCTATATACATATAAGTGAGATCATAGAATATCTCATAGTCTTTCTCTGTCTGACTTATTTCACTTAGTATAAGACCCTCAAAGTCTATCCATGTTGTTGCAAATGGCAGGATTTCCTTATTTTTTATGGCTAAATGGTGTTCCATTATGTGTGTGGTGTGTGTGTGCATGTGTGTGTGTGTGTGTGTGTGCATGCACATGTATTTTCAGCACTTCTTTATGCAGAATGGACATTTTTAGTCTATGGCCACACCACCCTGAATGCGTGATCTCGTCAGAATGGACATTTTTAAAATGAAAAGTTAGTCCCATGTTTGCTTTGGTGTTTTGATACATTTGTCAGTTCTTACATATCCAGTTATACCTTCATGTAATTTTAAAGCCAAAGAAGACTTCAGAGACACTAGTTCAACCTAGTCGTTATATAATATGAGGAGACTGGGACCTGGAGTGGTCACCTAAGCGTGCATAGGCAGTCAGTGAGGAATGCAGAATAGGTGGTTCCTGGCCCCTAGGGAGGTGGCGCTGCCTGTACCACGGCGCTTCACCTGTTAGTGCTTAAAGACAGAATGTTGGTCAAGTGTGATGGGGTCTGTGGAGCCCACTAAGGTTAATGATTAGCCGATATTCAGAATAATCCCATACCTTCTCCATTCTTTAATATGTACATGAAAATTAACAGTTGATGTAATTTTCTATTCTGTTTTAGACTTAAGTTTAATATAGTACCACCCTTTTTATTTGGTGGTCATACTTCTGGCCACCCTAATCATCCAGTTTACATTCATGACTCTTTAATATGTGATCCTAATATATTTATATGATTTTCCAGCTTACTACATTTTGAAAACTGTCTGCCACAGAAAACATACATGTACTGTATATGTTAATGGGTGTTACTGGGAAGAAAATGTTCCTTTATGAGGGTGTAAATTATTGGATCAGACAGGTTTTGTTACTCTCAAACTCCTCAGAGCCTTTGCACTCTGCTAATGTGCACTGTGAACCTACACAGAGGTTATAGTATGTAGCTTTCCCCAGACTTCTTGACCACAAAAACCCTTTTTCATTGAGCATCTATCTGTAAGTTATACCCATTGGCTAATATAGGCATAGACTATTGATTGATGAATATAGTGATGATTATCAGAATAGTAATGTAGCATTTATTATATATATATTTTTTAACATCTTTATTGGAGTATAATTGCTTTACAATGTTGTGTTAGTTTCTGATGTATAACAAGCTGAATCAGCTGTATGTATACATATATCCCCATATCCCCTCCCTCTTGCATCTCTCTCCCACCCTCCCTATCCCACCTCTCTAGGTGGTCACAAAGCACTGATCTGGTCTCCCTGCGCTATGCAGCTTCTTCCTACTAGCTATCTGTATGTTTATTATCTTGCAACAAATACCTTGTTACTTAGTTCAGGGACTTCTGTTAGAACATAAAGCTATGTGAGAAAAAATTCAGAAAATATAATTTGGTATTTAAGGATTTTCATGGAAAAGAAAGAATTTCTAAAGCATCTTTTATCTCCTTTTTAATTCAGAACTTGAAGAAGTAAAAACTTCATCCTTGGACAAAAACACTAGCAGAACTATTTGTAAGTGTTACTGTATTATCTTTTTCCATCATTAGGGGTGAAAAATGATGGATTGCAAATGAACATGGTTTTGTGTAGCTTGGATGTTTTGTGGTTTCCAGTTTGTCAAAAGATTAAATGACACCATGCTGCTTATTTCAGTGATGTTTTGTAGATTGGTATGTTCAGATGAAACTATTAGAATATTGAAAATTTTGTAAAGCAAAATTCATACATATTTCATGTGATCTAAAAAACTTTTATAAGCAAGAATTTATATCATCATTTCAAATGGTCATAATTAAAGTATGAACGTGAAATATGTGTAAGATCTTCATCTGTTTAACAGAAGGATAGAAAATCTAATTCATGGCCTGGGTAACCCTCAGCTAGTTTCATCCAGGTGAAAATACAGGCTTAAATATCCACATTGTTTAAACCTACAGAGCAGAAACTTGAAGGAGATTTTTATTTTTTGATAATGGTTGTGTAAGGTAGTATAACTTAGACTTCTTTTTCCTTTTCTGACATAAATACATTATTAACTCTTACTCTTCCTGAATTTAATAGCAGTATCTTAAAATGTTACTAGATTTCTTTTTATGGAAGTAAACTAAAACAAAATCGGAGGAGGGAATTTCAAGTATGCAGAAGTCAAGAGAATGTTTTGATGAACCCCCATGTGACCATCACCCTGCTTCAGTAATGATCAACATTTGCCAGTCCTGTACCGTTGATTCCTTCCTCCTTTTTCAGTTGGGTGCGTGGGTGGGGAAGGATAGAGTAGTACTTTAAAGCACATCCTAGGCATCATATCATTTCACCCCATAAATGTTTCAGGGTAGGTAACTTTTTAAAAGGCCATCAAAAAAGCCACAATCACCCAGCACCTATTTACTTGTATTTGATTTATCACATGTAACAAAATTAACTCCTTAATATCTTCTGATAGCTAGTCCATGTTCAAATTAACCTGATTGTCTCAAAATTGTCTTTGTATAGTTTCTTCCCTGAATCAGGATCCAAATGAAGCCTACACACACTGTATTTGGTTGACATGTATTTTATATTAATCAGAAACCACCCCCTTCCCTTCAATGTCATTTATTTGTTGAAGAAATTGAGTCATTTGTCTCATAGAATTTTCCACATCTGCATTTTTGTGGTCATTTGTCGCAT